GCAAGGAACAGGGGCCACATTCCAGACTTTCCTAATCTAACTGGGGAAGCAAAGTAATCGCATAGGCAGAATATTCCCATCAGGAAGCTCCCAAGCAGTTACCAGTTTTGGATACGAGGTTGGCGTGAAGTCTCCACACCACTGGGGCCTTGGAGAAGGGGCAGCTTTGCCAGCATAGAGTGACCTTGGACAAAGACCTGTGTGTCCAAGTGAATTCTCCATGTTTGCGTAGGCAATCTTAATATCAAATACTTCATATATTTACCAATCATCAGTGCACCCCAGAAATGGCAATTTTTGCACTCAGTAAACCTCCCAGACAGCCTTTCTAACCCAGTTGCAGCACAAAAATCCATTGTCAGACCACAGCTTCTGACTGTTGCTTGGAAAACTAAGGTGACTGTGCCTATGGAGCCAGGAATAACTGGTGCTGCTGTGCCTACCTTTGACAATGGGGAGTACTTAGATGTTACAGTGAGGACAGTTCTCTCAGCCCTCTTGGATGGGCTGCATATTACAGGTAGTTTAAGGTGGCAACCTCGGGCCAGGCCAAGAAGGGGGCTGTATTAGTGCATTTTCACACTGCTGATAAAGACATAACCAAGACTGTGCAACTTGAAAGAGGCTTAATTGGACTTAAAGTGTTCCACATGGTTGGGGAAGCCTTCCAATCATGGTGGAAGGCAAGGAGAAGGAAGTCGTGTCTTAAGTGGATGGCAGCAGTCAGAGAGCTTGTGCAGGATAACTCTTTTTAAAACCATCAGATAAATCAGACTTTCTCATACTGTTCCCATTATAGTGAGTAAGACTTGCCCCTGTGATTCAATTACCTGCCATCAGGTCCTCCTGGCAACATGCGGGAATTCAAGATGTGCTTTGGCTGTGTCCCCATCCAAATCTCATCAGGGCAAACTCCCCAAGAGGAATCACTAGAGGAATACTGTGGCATGACTGGAACCTGCTGAGCAAATTAAGCCGTACAGGAAAATCGGAACAGCCATGCCTTCATGCAGAAGGTGCCAATAGTAAGCCTTTGAGGGCAAAAGTGAGATGTACTTTGGGCTGTTAGCTCTCAAAGTAATTCAGTTTAATGAAAACCTGTATTACTTATGCAGTGCTGAGTACTGTAACTGAGGTCTATCCCAGTTCGTGAAGCAAAATCAATTCATTTTCTCCCAGTACTTAGTGTCTTGGCCATTTACGATTTGTTTCATCAGAGGTGTGTTCTGTTACTACGTACGTGGCTCTGTGGTTAGAAATTGAACAAAAGTGTCTGCTTTAACAGGTGCACAGTCCACCGGGAAGAGACACAGAACAAGAGTACAGTGAGGGGAATGCTGTACTGGGGAGGGCACAGGTATCCTGGAAGTCCAGCAAGGGAGACACTATGCCCTTCACGGAATTAATAATCAACATGGACAACCCTGCAGAAGAGTTTGGGAAGGGGTTGAAGGAGGAGCAGCTATTGACTAGGCAGAAGAGGCTGAGAGCGTACATCTACGAGCATAGCCCCTTTGGGAAGTGGCAGCAGCTCACTTTGGCATTGGTGAGAGGAGGGAGTTGAAGCTATAAGTGAGGTGGGCTAGGCCAGCCACAAATGGCTGTGGGAGCTGTGCTCTGGAGTTGGACGCTGTTCTGGAGAATGGGAGGCAGTTCCTCTTGGCAGTGGTAACAGCAGCTGGAGGAGGGAGCAGGAAAAGCTCCCAAGCACTGCGGATGGCATTTGCTCAAGAGATGAAGGCATGAAGTAGGACAATAAGAATAAGGAGGCAGAAAAGGGGGAAATTGAGAAATAGTGGAAGGCAAAAATCATTAGGAAGTGTGAAATGAGTGTAGGAGGAACAAAAGATGACTTTCAGGTGACAGGTATCCTGGAAATGAAGAGAAAAACATCAAACTAGTCCGTTAGGCCAAGGGAGTGAAAGATCCCACAGAGGGAGTGAATCTGTCACATACAGCACAGAGAAACATTTCCAGAGAACAGTCCAGATGACTGAGGAAGGATGGGAAGCAATGGGGTAGAGCCAGTGGATGTCCACAACCACATTAAAATGTCTGGATGAGAAGGCGGAGAGAGAAGGAAGTTAGGGAGGGACATGAAGTCAAAGTGTTTTGTTTTAAAATGGACTGTATGTCTTGTGTGTGCATGTATGTGTGTGTAAAATACAGGTAGGGAAACCTGACGGGAAGTTTCCCGGAGAAAAGAGCTCAAAAATGCAAGAGATCAAAATGAGTGAGGTGTAGATCAATGTTCAGGGCAGCAGTGGTGAGCCCAGGAGGGAAAGTTCTCAACTATTCTGAGTCCAAAGTGTGGCTAGTCCCCTGGAAGCACATCCTGGTGACAAAACTGAGGTGCCAACCCAGTGCCATGGGCTGTGGAAGACTGAGAATGTAGCAGAGTGAACAGACGGGGCCTTACCCTTTAAGTTGGGTCAGTGCCCTGACCCTACCTCCCACCTTGCTTCCACCCTTCTGTGTCCCTTTCTGTAGTGCTATCTCCGAAATCAACCCACCACGTGCAGCAACAGAAGCTACAGATAGGATATTCCTGGAAAAAAAAAAATGACAATCTAATCACTCACCCTGCCATCGGAGCACCACTGTTAGGGATGATACAGCTGTGCCCCGCAGTGGAACTGGGTTTGTGATAGGCAAGTAAAGGATATTGCTGTCTCCTGGGAAACATGCTGTCACCTCAGTATGGGCTACATATCTTGGTTATTGGAAATACATATGTACGTTCATTGTCACAGAATTTTTAAAATACCAATGATGTAAGGAGCCAGACTTAAGTACAGCAAGGTCTGAATAAGCCTTTCCAAACTCTTCAGTAAGACAAGGCCTGATGAAGAGTAGAATAGGTGCTAACTGGCCAAAGAGCTGTAAGTTTTAAGCACCTTTTGAAACCTCACTCTGCTGAGATCTTTTAGTTCAAGTCAGTACTACAATTGTATGTGACCATCACCAATAATGCCAGTGGTCACATAAATGGTTAAATTGCAAGACCGCAGCAGTGGCAGGAATTGATGTCAATTAGATACACTGTTAATTTTTTTTTCCCTGGTGCCGCGCTGTAGTGGACACATCAGGAGGCAGAAAAGATAGAGGACGTAACAGCAATTAAACATGCTCATGACCCTCTCCTGCCACACTCCCAAATGGGTAATGTTTCTGTAGACCTTGCCAGGATCACAGAAAAGACCAGCTTCTCTGTAGGATGCAGGAGAGGAGGGGTGCTTTTCTCTTTACAAAAAAAGGAAGCTCCTACTTCCTCAACCTTTCTCATGGTGGGCAATCCGAATTACAGAGCAGGGACTCATGGCTTACCAGACCTGCTCTAAATACTCAAGTCAGGGACAGGAGGGGCCAATAGCAGAACCATGAGGGCCCTTTCCTCCCCCACAAAGCCAGGAGCTGTCTCCCTTCTGCCTCCCTGTGCAGAAAACGTTTATGATGGCTACAAGGGACAATGTGTCAAAAGTATTAAATGCAGTTTGCTAAGCATAGCCCGTTCCCTAACAAGATTTTCTTCAAAGGACAAATATCTTGAACAATGTATTCCAGAAAACATTAGCCACCACTACTGAAGTGACTGGGTTAGAAAGCTTATTTCTTAATAATCTTAGGTTTCCCATATGGTGGCCAGACACTCAAAATTGGAGTGTTCTTTCTTTTTTCTTTTTTTTAAAGATAAAAATCCTAGCGTTGGCTGGGTGTGCTGGCTCATGCCTGTAATCCCAGCACTTTGAGAGGCCAAGGCTGGTGGATCACTTGAGGTCAGGAGTTCAAGACCAGCCTGGCTAACATGGTGAAACCCTGTTTCTAACAAAAGCATTTTTTAAAAATTAGCCGGGTGTGGTGGCTCACCACTGTAATCCCAGCTCCTCGGGAACCTGAGGCAGGAGAATCTCTTGGACCTGGGAGATGGAGGTTGCAGTGAGCTGAGATCTTGCTACTGCACTCCAGCCTGGGTGACAAAGTGAAAGACTCCATCTCAAAATAAAATAAAAACTGAAAAAACAAATCCTAGAATCACAGGCCACACCAAATACATGTTACCATTTGCTAAAAATGGTCTGACTCTGTAGAAAAGCATTTTTAATCTACACATCGTTTTTTCTGCTGTTATATTTCCATTTTAATTCATTCTAATATCTGAAATGGCCATCTAAGGCCCATCTTGAGAAACTGCAAAACGAACCAGTCGCTAAACTCCTTCCTAGGCTGAAATGGTCAGCATGTCCCATGACCTGTGAGGGCAAGAGTTCAGATACTCCCCCCTTCTGTGATTTTGTTTCTTTGAAGACCTGACTATGGGAATATTGAAATGAGTGGATTGAAATGTGAAAAAATACTTACAGGATTGGGACACGATTTAGCCAAATCATTGCTTTAATTTTCATACTTAACCCCCGGAATTCCCAGTCTTCAGAAAAGACCATGATATTTCAAAGCAATTGAGTTCAGTCCAAGCAGAGCCTGTAATTTCTGCATTTACACTCTGTCAACTGAAATTGAGTTTTCAAATGACCTGGAGATGACACAAAACCCACTGGAATGCTTCCATTGATAAATTCATTTTTTTCAGCAAGGATTTTCTAAGCAACTATTAAATGTCGAGTGGTTGGCAAGGAAGGAAGTTTAGGTGTCAAGCACAGGTGGTGGGATTTGTGTGGCTCGATGTGGGCACCTCTGGAAAGGCACAAGGGTAGCGATGGCATCCAGCAGCGCGGGTTCCCACAGCGCCTGGGCCTGGCCGAAAGCGCGCCAGTAAAACTTGGCACAGTAGCATCTGTGCCAAGTGCGTTCTTGGCAGCCGCACGTCGGAGGGACAGAACTCACCCTAACTTTTGAGTGCAGAGTCAAACTTGGGGACTACGTTAGCGTGAAAGGAAAGGTAAGCCCGGACCAAGGAGGGAAAAGGCAGCGCAGATAGCGGGGTTGGGGAATAATACCAAGACAGGGAGGGGCCCGACCCCAGCACCAGGGGTGGTGCCCACCTGCGTTCCGGAGCTTGCGGTTCCGGTTCCTGAGCACCAAGAGGATCACCAGGAAGTTTCCCACAAGGTCCACGGCGGTGGTGGGTGGTGACGATGAGCACCGCGGATGACGCAGGAGCCACCCAGGAAGGGAGGTCGAGGGGTCCCGGAGGGCCGCATACTGCCTGCCCCCGACCAGCCCAGGTGCATTACCCACCCGCTGGCCTCACAGCAGTTGGCAAAAGAGCCGTTCTCTGACATGACAGACTCTACTGCGCTGTGCTTTGGCCACCATGCGGCCCTGTACAGCCGCAGAGCGGCGGCAGTACTGAGGGGAGCGTTCCCTTCCCTGCCCAGCTCGCACGTGGAAGGGAGGTGGCCAGTGGGGAGGGGTCTGGAGGAGTTAACTAAGCGTGGGCAGGGGATGGAGAAAAATACAGAAGTGGGAGGACGACTTGGGGTGCAGTCGTTGCAGAAAGGAGTGTGTCCCTCAGCAATGCACTCGGGAACAGCTGGGACCACACAGCTGACTCTGCCACCAGGAGCCCAGCAGGTGCCTGGCCCACCTCAGGCTGCGGAACGTGTCTTCCCTGAGTACACAGTGACATCCGAGACCCCGATTTCCTCCACAGTGTCCCCAAGAGAAGCTGTGTCCAGGCAAGGACATCCAGCCCAGGTTTACAGACTGGAGGTACTGATGGCTGGGATCTCCCATCAGTTATCAAGAAGGCAAGGTTTGAGGTCCCATAGGGGTGGTGCTGCTTGAAAGAGAATGCAACTCCTAAAATGTAGGGACAAAGCCCAGAACAAAGTAGGGTAGATTGTTAAATCACAGGGAGCTGCAGAGAAAGAAAAACCTAGCTATTTTCTGCGAACTCTCTGGGTATTGTGTGGCACCTTGGTGATATCTCTACTGGATCCTCTTTCTAAAGCCAATACTTTAATAGATTCATCAACAAAAATTTACATAAATGGATGTATAGCCAATACTGGGAGTTATAATGTGGTTTTAGGAGGGGTGAGGACAAGAGGCATGATTACAAGAAAGAAGGAACTCAAGTGCCCTTTATTAAAAATGAGTTGTGATCTGGTGATACTAACTTCTAATGCGGGCTAATCTTAGGCCACTTTTCACACCCACTTGAATCACTAAAGTAAAAATGACTGATTTTCCTAAATTTGTTTAGGAAGTTAACCAGAACTCTCCTACACTGCTTTTATGAGAACGCAAAATGGTACAGCCACTATGAAGACCTGTCTGTTAGCTTCTAATAAAGTAAAATACACACCTATCCTATGACCTGAAGTTCCAAGTGAAAAGGAAGGTACATTTTCACAAAGATGTGTACCAGAATGTCCAAAGCAGCCTTGTTTATAGGAGCTCAAATATGGAAACACCCAATTTCCATCATCAGAAGAATGGATAAACAAATGGTGGTACGACCATGCAATGGAATACCACTCAGCAATAAGGGCGACTGACCTACACGACAGTATGGATCAATCACAAATACGTTGTATGGAGCAGAAGCCAGATACCAAAAAGTCAATACTATATTTCAATTACATAAAGTCCCAAATCTGGACTAATGAGTTTTTTTTGAGATAGTATCTCTGTTGTTCAGGCTACAGTGCAGTGGTGCGATCTCGGCTGACTGCAACCTTCATCTCCTGGATCCAAGCGATTCCCTGCGTCAGTCTCCTGAGTAGCAGGGATTACAGGCATACACCACTAGGCCCAGCTAACTTTTTGTATTTTTAGTAGAGATAGTGTTTCACCATGTTGGTCAGGCTGGTCTCGAAATCCTGACCTCATCATTTCACCCACCTCAGCCTCCCAAAGTGTTGGGATTATGGTGTGCGCCACCGTGCTGCCCTGATTAGGGGCTGATTTCTAATTTCTATTAGAAAATAGATTAAAGTGGTTATGTTTGAGGGGTGGATATTGAGAAATGAACATCAAGTGACTTCTAAATTGTTATGTAATTTTACATAAATTACATTGACCCGCCCTTAAATGTGGGGGAAAAGAATGATGCAGTGGTGTGAATGGATGATGAAGGGAAGGAAGAATGGAGAGGTGAAACGAGCTCACCTTTGAAGTAAGCTCATCCAAAACCCAAGGAAGGAATAATATTTGTTAGAGGCCTTGTAGTAGAAAAGAATCAGAAGCCAGAGGCAAATTCAGATGCGCTTCTAAACTGGTGTGAGGAAATGAGAGAGCTCTCCCTAGATTCTGCATTCTCGGAGTTAGAAAGCTACCCATCAGCCAGGATTCCGAGGAACAGTGTAGGAGGTTTGAAGACCAAAAAAAGCATGAAGGAGCATTTCAGAAAGTGGGAACAATAGCAAAGTGTAACGGGTGTCAGGAGCACAAATGACCCTCTGCAGTTTGAGATGATGGCTTCAAATGATGCCCCTGAGCCCGCTCAGTAGTCTGCAACTTGGAGCTGCTCAGGACAAGCATGGAAAACGTAGAGTGAATTTGTTAGGATTGGCATCTACTGGGTGGGAGTAAATAACAAGTTCAAGGGCCTGGTGAGAAGCTGGATCCTGGTGTTTAAGTTGATGAGGAAACGGGCTGATGGGCTGTGAGACAAAGGAAAAGTCAAGAGATTGGAGACCCTGTGACTTCAGAGAATTGTGGTGAGTGAGTCAGGAAACATAGCTGTGCTGAAAGGGTGAGCTGCTTGAAATCGAGATGTCTGAAGGGTGTAAATTCTGTTGCTGTGAAGGCTCCGAGGGTGATGATGGGAGTGGGTCTCTGGTGGAAGGTGAGAAAAATGTTAGAGATGAGAAGGCGAAGGAACTGAAGTCAGGACTGAATATTATGGTGGGGAGAGTAAAGTAGAACGATGAGTCTGGAGGCAAATTCCCAGTAAATGAGGAGGGATGACTAACAGGTCTGCGGGAGAGCAACGGGAAAGGAGAAAGAGACGGATAGGTAGTGTGAAAGCCACTGGGCTTTTTCAGGAAAAAAGAGGCAGCCACATTTTCCCCGTCTTAGAGGTGCGAACACATTGTGGTGCTTATCAGCTTTCAGAGGCCAACCTAGCAATAGGTGAGTTGGACACAGTGTAAGTTGCCTGCATCCAGACACACCCTCTAATACACATTTGGTTAACTGAGACTGAAACATAAGCATTTGCCCTATGTTGCTTTGGAATGTGATTGTCCATAATAGCATATCTCAAGATAGGCACAAAGAATTGGGATGTTCACCCACCAAAGAAGTCAATGCTACATCCTGGCATGGCTGGCTGGGCTATGCCGTAAAAGTTGGGGAAATGAGACAGCCACTTGGGAAGAAAGTTTGGAGATGCATTACAAAAGAGCACATACCCTTACCATAGCATGAAGCAATTTTTTTCCTTGGTACTTAGCCAAATGAGTTGAAAATGTATGTCCATAGAAAAACCTGCGCACAGATGTCTAACAGCTTTACTCACAATTACCAAACTTGGAAGCAACCAAGATGTCCTTCAATAGGTGAATAAACTGAGTTGCACATCCAGATGATAGAATATTATTCTGCATTAAAAAGACGTGAGCCATGCCATGAACAACATGGAGGAACTTTAAATGCATATTACTAAGTAAATGAAGCCAAAGTGAGAGGGCTACATACTGTTGGATTCCAACTATATGACATCGTGGAACAGGCAAAATTATGGCTAAAGTAAAAAGATTAGTGGCTGCCAGGAGTTTGGGGTGAGGGAAAATGAATACGTTGAGCACTGAGGATTTTTAAGGCAGAGGAATTGTTGTGTATGATACTATAATGAGCAATACATGTCATTATACATTTGTCAAAACCCAGAGAATGTACAACACCACGAGTGAACTAATGTAAATTATAGCATCGCAGACACTGCTGTGCCCAAATACAAATGAAAAAGATTGGTACAATAGACAAAACCAAAAGTTCCTGCCAACGGTTTAATAATTTTATAGGAAGAAAAACTGGAGAGGGAAAGGGGAAAAAACAGATGTCAAAGTTCAAAGAATTTTAGATGGTTTCTCCAAGAGGTAAGTCAACATTTTGAACGCTTGCAGAGCATTCAAAAATCCTAGGATTTAAAAAATGGGAGCAAAACTGGTTTTGTCAACACCAGTCCCAAGTTGAAACTCAAATCAATATCTGACCATAGAAGCACAGCGTCGTGCATCCCGACAGTATCACCTTTTACTCCAGACAGTACTTGAAACCCCTCCCAAACATCTTTGAACCAGGGTCTTACGGAGGCAGCAATAAGAACAGACTCAGAAGTGAGTTGCCAAGGTTGATGGCTGACGAGTGACCAGCTGTATTATGCGATCTATTTATTAAATGTGCAATGAGTTCCAGGCACAGTGGTTAACACCTGTAATCCCAACACTGAGAGGCCGAGGCCGGAGGATCACTTGAGGCCAGGAGTTGAAGACCAGCCTAGGCAACAGAGTGAGACCTTGTCTGTACAAAAAATAAAAGAACTAGCAGGCATGGTGGCACGCACCTGTGGTCCCAGCTACACAGGAGGCTGAGGGAGGAGGGTTGCTTGAGCCTTAGAGGTCTAGGCTGAATGTAATTGATCATGCCATCGCACTCCAGCCTGGGCAACACAGTGAAACCCTGTCACTAAACAAATAAGATATGACAGCTTTTATTCCTTCTGTATGAAATGTACAAAGTATATAAAGAATATAAGCAAAATTTTATTTTGCTAATCGGCTTGCAGCATGGCTGACAACTTTTAATAATGCTATAAACAGTAACTAGCACACAGCTAGCATCTACTAATTACTCTGCATTATGCATAGGGGACATCTGGATTCTTTAATCCTCTCATCTCTACGTAACATTACTGTGAAGAAACTGATTTAGACAGGTTAAGAAACCTACCCAAGCTTGCCCAGATAATGGTTTCAGAGCTAGGACTGGAACCTAGGCTGTCTGATCCCAGAATTTGGGGCTGATTTACTCAGTGGGGTATATTAAAATCTCCGCACCCTTCTTACCTTACAAGGATAGGGAAGCTCAACAATGTTGAGTATGTTGAACCCTGAGAGAAAATAGAATAAGACTCCAGATGTTCCTGCTGTCAGCTTTGGAAAGAAAATGGGATTTTATAGATCACTTAAAAAAAAATACACCACTGCCTAGCATCGTGAAGCTGCCCTAATCTTTCTCTGAAGTGAAGAATGTCCTGGAAAGGATGCTCTGCAATAAAAGTAAAGACAAAACTACAAAGCCCCCACCTTCCCAGCACGTGCCCATGGCA